GAATAGAGCTGGAAGGGACCTTGGAGGTCTTCTAGTCGGGCCCCCTGCTCAAGCAGGAATGGAAGCTATAGAGCTGCAGAGGCCAGAGAAGGGAACGCTGTGCAGGGATGGACAAATCTTTTGAGATAAAACCCACAATTGCCTTCCTTTAAAACACACTCCATCTGTGAGGATTTTTCCCAAGGTCTCTTCTCCTGCCAAATTCTCTTTGGCACCTGACTGAACGGCAGGAGGAAGTAACAGAGGGAATTATTACTGCATGGTGCTCGCACATTAAAACAAGGTTCTTGGGCTTTGTTTTGTTTTGTTTTGTTTTGTTTGGCAGGGGTAGGTTTTAGGAACAGCAGCAGTTGGGGGAAATTGTTATCTCATCCGACTTTAGCACCGGCCCAGCAAAGTAATCCTTGTTTAATTCCACCCAGGATGTTTTTAACTGCTAGACTCTCAAATAGAAAGTGTGGCTTCCAAGACTCTTCCAAAAAACACCAGGCTAATCTCAAATCATGGCAGGTTTACAAAAAAAGTCTTTTTAAGAAGAGAAATAAAATCACAGTTCAATCCAGACTCAAGATGTGTCATTTGTAAAACAAATTCTGTCCACTAGCACAATTTCAACAGACAGAGCAAGACTATCAACAAAATAATTGTAGTTATTTGTATTTGGTGGTCTTTGAGCTTGGTTGCTTTCTTGTAGACGTTTCATGACCCAATTACATAACATCATCAATGCTAGAAGGGAGTAGGGTTTGTGGAGAGGAGGAGGAGGAAGAGGAGGAGGAGGAGATGGATGGATGCTCTCTGAGTTTGGTAGTTTTTTTTACAGATGTTTCATTACCCAACTAAGTAACATCATCAGTGCCAGAAGGCAGAAGGCTTTGTGGAGAGGAGGAGGAGGAGGAGGAGGAGGAGGAGGAGGAGGAGGAGGAGGAGGAGGAGGAGGAGGAGGAGGAGGAGGAGACGATAATTGTGGGGTCCTTTGGTGTTCTGTGAGCTTGGTTTTGCAGACATTTTATTACCCAACCAGGTAATATCACCATGAATGGAATGAGTGGAATGGAAGAATAGAATAGAATAGAATAGAATAGAATAGAATAGAATAGAATAGAATAGAATAGAATAGAATAGAATAGAATAGAATGGAATGGAACGGAATGGAACGGAATGGAATAGAAAATGAAGACGAGTAGAATAGAATAGAATAGAATAGAATAGAATAGAATAGAATAGAATAGAATAACAGAGTTGAAAGGGACCTTAGAGGTCTTCTAGTCCAACCCTCTGCTAAGCCAGGAAACCCTATAAAATTTCAGATAAATGATTGTCCAATCTCTTCTTAAAAACTTCCAGTGTTGGAGTATTCATAACTTCTTGAGGCATATCGTTCGTAATATTCTATTCTATTCTATTCTATTCTATTCTATTCTATTCTATTCTATTCTATTCTATTCTACTCTACTCTATTCTATTCTATTCTATTATTCTATTCTATTCTATTCTATTCCTATTTCATTCCATATTTTCTATTCTATCCCATTCCATTCCTGAAACTCAGCAAAAATCAGAAAAAGTTTAGAGAATTCGCCAAAAAATCTTTGCTAGATCCATTAGCCAAAATTCTCCTTGGGCCCAGGTGAAGCTCAGAAAGAAATCAACTAAGCATGCTTTACCACCCCCGAGATAATAAATCTGTCCACTGAAATTTAACACCGATGAAATTGACAACTAAACTCTCTCCTTGCATCAAATTCGAAACACTCACAAGTGTTATCTCTTCAGACAGTCTATACTTATCCACTGCTGCCAGACCTGGTTTGACCGATGGGTCAATTGCAATGACATCAACCTGGCAGAAATTGCAGGTTTATCGATCAAAAGGCATCTAGTGAGATCACGTCTTGACTTGGCCAAGCTCCAGGAACAGATCGGAAGACATCAGTGGTAATGCGCAAAAAAAAAAAAAAAAAAGATTTAAGTATGATAGGGTCACCCAGGACCTAGCACTACAGAAGTGCCAGGATTTGGAAGAAGAGCAATTTTTGAAAATACATCAATCTTTTGCAGCTTTATTTTATTATTTAATAACAATAATAATAGTAGTAAAGTTGGAAGGGACCTTGGAGGTCATATAGTCCAACCCCCTGCTCAGGCAGGAAACCCTACACCATTTCAGACAAATGGCTGTCCAGTCTCTTCTTAAAAACTTCCAGTGTTGGAGCATTTATTGCTTCTGGAGGCAGGTGGTTCCATTGGTTAATTGTTCTTACTGTCAGGAAGTTTCTCCTTAGTTCTAGGTGGCTTCATTCCTTGATTAGTTTCCATCTGTTGCTTCTTGTCCTGCCTTCAGGCGCTTTGGAGAATAGCTTGACTCCTTCTTCTTTGGAGCAACCCAGAGATACTGGAAGACTGCTATCATGTCACCCCTGGTCCTTCTCTTCATTAAACTAGACATCCCCAATTCCAGCAACCGTTCCTTATATGTTTTAGCCTCCAGTCCCCTAATCATCTTTGTTGCTCTTCTCTGCACTCTTTCTAGAGTCTCAACATCTTTTTTACATCGTCAGGACCAAAACTGGATGCAGTATTCCAAGTGTGGCCTTACCAAGGCATTGAAGAGTGGTATTAATACTTCACGTGATCTTGATTCTATCCCTCTGTTAATGCAGCCTAGCACTGTGTTGGCCTTTTTGGAAGCTGCAGCACACTGCTGGCTCATATTTAAGTGATTGTCTACTAGGACTCCGAGGTCCCTCTCACAGTTACTACTATTGAGCATGGTGCCACCTATGCTGTACTTGTGCATTTTGTTTTTCTTGCCTAAATGTAGAAACTTGCTTTTTTCACCATTGAATTTCATTTTGTTAGTTAGTGCCCAGTGTTCAAGTCTGTCCAGATCCTTCTGTATCTTAAGCCTGTCTTCTGGAGTGTTGGCTATTCCTGCCAGATTGGTGTCGTCTGCAAATTTGATGAGTTCCCCATCTATCCCTTCATCCAAATCATTGATGAAGATGTTGAAGAGTACTGGGCCCAGAACAGAGCCCTGGGGCACCCCACTACACACTTCCCTCCATATAGATGCATTTCCATTGAGGACCACTCGCTGAGTACGGCCGGTCAGCCAGCTACGGATCCATCTGGTGGTGATTCTGTCTACCCCACATTTTTCTATCTTATTTATTGGTGGGTATCCCACTGTTAGTATTTTTACAAATAACTCAAGGTGGTGAGCGTATCCAACACACCTTTCTACTCCTATCATCCTCATAGCAAGCATCCTGTGAGCTGGGTTGGGCTGAGAGAGGATGACTGGTCCAAAGTCACCCAGCCAGCTTTCATGGCTAAGGCAGAACTAGAACTCACAGTCTCCTGGTGATTGGACTAAAGTCACCCAGCTGACTTTCATGGCTAAAGTGGGACTAGAACTCACCATCTCCTGGTGACTGGTGCAAAGTCAACCAGGCATTTTTCACTAGAAGTCACCATCTCCTGGTGATTGGCCCAAAGTCACCCAGCTGGCTTTCATGGCTAAGGCGGAACTAGAACTCACAGTCTCCTAATGACTGGTCCAAAGTCACCCAGCCAGCTTTCATGGCTAAGGCAGAACTAGAACTCACAGTCTCCTGGTGATTGGACTAAAGTCACCCAGCTGATTTTCACGGCTAAGGTGGGACTAGAACTCACCATCTCCTGGTGACTGGTGCAAAGTCCCCCAAGCAATTTTCACTAGAAGTCACCATCTCCTGGTGATTGGTCCAAAGTCACCCAGCTGGCTTTCATGGCTAAGGCGGAACTAGAACTCACAGTCTCCTGGTGATTGGACTAAAGTCATCCAGCTGACTTTCATGGCTAAAGTGGGACTAGAACTCACCATCTCCTGGTGACTGGTGCAAAGTCAACCAGGCATTTTTCACTAGAAGTCACCATCTCCTGGTGATTGGCCCAAAGTCACCCAGCTGGCTTTCATGGCTAAGGCGGAACTAGAACTCACAGTCTCCTAATGACTGGATGAAAATCACCCAGCCAGCTTTCACAGCTAAGGCGGAACTAGAACTCACAGTCTCCTGGTGATTGGACTAAAGTCACCCAGCTGACTTTCACGGCTAAGGTGGGACTAGAACTCACCATCTCCTGGTGACTGGTGCAAAGTCCCCCAAGCAATTTTCACTAGAAGTCACCATCTCCTGGTGATTGGTCCAAAGTCACCCAGCTGGCTTTCATGGCTAAGGCGGAACTAGAACTCACAGTCTCCTAGTGATTGAACCAAAGTCACCCAGCTGGTTTTCATGGCTAAGGCAGAACTAAAACTCACTGTCTCCTGATGATTGGCCCAAAATCACCCAGCCAGCTTTCATGCCTAAGGTGGGACTAGAACTCACTGTCTCCTGGTGATTGGACTAAAGTCACCCAGCTGACTTTCATGGCTAAAGTGGGACTAGAACTCACCATCTCCTGGTGACTGGTGCAAAGTCAACCAGGCATTTTTCACTAGAAGTCACCATCTCCTGGTGATTGGTGCAAAGTCACCCAGCCAGCTTTCATGTCTAAGATGGGACGTAACCCTCACAACACCCACTATAAGACCCTCACCTGACATGACCTTCCCATCCCAAGACCTTCTGACCACGCAAAGCCCTTATAAGCAGAACAACAACGACACTGACATCCCTTAAACTCCGCTGAAGACGTTTCCTAGCCTGGTGACAAAACATTCAGAAACTAACCCGAAGCTCAGAGAACAAACTACCACCCTCACCACTGCATCCTTCTTTGACACATATCTACAAACTGTTGTGTCTTTCCCCAACTCCACAATGGAGATAACGTTAATTACTGTATAACTTTTGAAGGGAAGTAGCTTTGAAAGAATTCCATTCATCGCCACTGCGACCGGAGAAGAAACCGAAGCAGGAGACTTTGTCTTGACCAAACGCACAATATTCATGCGAATGGACCATATCTGTCCTCCAAACTAAGGGGTCCTCCCTCAAATCCTCCAATCTTACCTTGTGCAGGAAAAAAGAATGAACTGGTGTCCACTTTTTGCTCTTAACACCAGCTCTCCCGATCAGCTGAAGTTCTTCTGCAAACTGTGACACAAAAAGGAGATAACGGTTGTTTTTGAAGAGCGCTTTGAAAAGACTTACTGTTTCTAAATCACTTTAAACGACAAAAATGCACTGCGGGATCAGATGCAATATCAGCAGTGAAGTTCCTGATTCACAGTCACTGTGAGAGGGACCTTGGAGTCCTAGTGGACAATCCCTTAAACCAGGGGTCTTCAAACTTGGCCCTTTTATGACGTGTGGACTTGAGACACGTGTGCCTGGCTGAGGAATTCTGGGAGTTGAAGTCCACACATCATAAAAGGGCCAGATTTGAAGACCCCCTAATTCAGTGGTTCTCAACCTTTTTAATGCCACGACCCCCAACCGGTCGTAAGTCGAGGACTACTCAACCGGTCATAAGTCGAGGACTACTCAACGGGTGCAGCACCATTTGCAGAATGGGACTTTTGGCGGGCTCAGCAGGGCAGAGACAGCCTGGACAATTCCTATTGGCTTTTGAAAGCCAATAGAATTAGACTCTATTCAAGAGAGTCTCTTCTATTGGCTTTCAAAAGCCAATAGAATAAAAGGGAGTAGCACAGCTAAAGGGGCAAAAAATGGCGGACTGCGTTGTTTAGCGACCCCCGTGAAATGGTTGTTCGACCCCAAGTGGGGTCGCGACCCACAGGTTGAGAACCACTGCCCTAACTTAAATGGAAGCCAGCCGTGTGCAGCAGCAGCCAAAAAGGCTAATACAATCCTTGGTTGTATAAGCCAGAGGCAGAGAATCAAAATCACATGAAGTATTAGCAACGCTTTATAAAGCCTTAGTAAAGCCACAGCTAGAATGCTGCATCCAGTTTTGGTCACCACATTACAGACAAGATGTTGAGACTTTGGAAAACGTGCAGGGAAGAGCAACTAAGATGATCAAAGGCCTGGAGACTAAGACATACGAAGAACGGCTGCAGGACTTGGGAATGGCCAGTCTAGAGAAAAGAAGGACTAGGGGGGACATGATAGCAGTATTCCAGTATTTGAGGGGCTGCCACAAAGAGGAGGGGGTCAATTTATTTTCCAAAGCACCAGAAGGCAAGACAAGAAACAATGGATGGAAACTCATCAAGGAGACAAGCAATCTGGAATTAAGGAGAAACTTCCTGACAGCTAGGACAATTAACCCGTGGAACAACCTGCCTCCAGAAGCGGTGAAATGTTCCAACACTGGAAGTTTTTAAAGAAGAGACTGGACAGCCATTTGTCCAAAATGGTATAGGGTTTCCTGCCTGAGCAGGGGGTTGGACTAGATGACCTCCAAGGTCCCTTCCAACTTTATTATTGTTATTAAATAAACTCGAGTAGAAACAGCTGAAATGACAATGATCTCTTTCCATCTTTTTATTTCTCAATCTTTTATCAAGTTTTAGATGGCAAGCAAAAGATAGAACGCCTCAATTACTTGTACGGCATCGATTAAACTTGTAAAAAAATCTGCATTTTATCCAATTTGGATACAGAGAGGGTGGTGGGATTTGGGTTTGTTTGGGTTTTTTTTCCTTTTTTTTTTGAAGGATGGGATTATTTCCATTTTTCCGCCCAAGCAAACGCTCTCTTTCATGTTCCTGGCCCCGTCATTTCTTTTTCAAACTTTAACCCCACTTGGAGAGTAAATACATTGATCAACTAAGTAAACGCCAGCATCCGAGCACTTCCTGAGGAAAAAGCACGATACCAAGCCGGTGAATAAATAACACAACAGAGATGCTTTAAATGGAAGAATTAGTTCATTAAGCCATTCAAGATTTGCAGCCACAACGATTGTTAACTTTGCAAACAGGGGGGGGAAGAACTGTCTTACGATGAATGCAAAAGTTATCTTGTGGCGAACGAAAACACAAAATCGATTTTCATGAATGGATAAAACAGGATAACAGAAAGACAAGAATTGGAAGGGACCAACCTTCTGCTGAAGCCATCAGATTAAGAGGTGGTGTTTCTTTAATTGCTTGAGCTACAGGTAGTCATGGACTTACAACCACAGTTAAGATCAGGGTGTCCACTGACAGTTATTAAGTGAGGTTTTGCCCCATTTTAGTTTAGTTGTTAAAACGAAGTTGCAAATTGTGAAGCTAATCACCCATTTAGTCATCTCTTTTCGGTTCCATCCTGCTGTCAACGCTGCTAACATGGGATGTTCTTGCTTTGACTACATATGGAGTTGCAACCATTTTCCTTCTTATGTTTTACTCTTAGAATTAGAGTTAGAATTAGATGATATGGGGGGGGGAGGAGGAATGTGCATGGGAGTTTAGTTAGACATAACAATATTGTAACTAGTGTGAGAACCAAGGTTATTGAAATAAGGGATGATAAGAATTGGCGGGGCTGGAGAACTGGAGGGAGAGCCCGCATTTCAAACTAATTGGAGAATGGGATTTATTACTGTAAATTGGAGGCGGGAATTGTGCTTTGATATTATGTGCTCAGGGGAGAGGGATTCAGATTTTGGCTTTGTCTATGTAAGTGTCTAAGATCAGAAATGAGGAGGTGATAAGCCACCTGGGAAAGCCAAGGGAAATCATCAAAACAATTAAAACATGAAAATTAGAATATTTCGGACATGTGATGCGACATCCAGAAAAATGCAGCCTACTCCATTTAATCCTCCAGGGAAAGATTGAAGGCAAATGAGGTCTAGGCAGAAGAAGAACATCGTGGCTTCAAAATCTAAGGGACTGGTTGGGACAAAACTCAGCAGCACTTTTTTGTGCGGCTGCTGATAAAAACAGGATCGCCAACATGATCGCCCATGTCCGATAACGGATATGGCACAAGAAGATGTAAATGCCGATGCTATGCTTCTCAAATAAAGATTCCTGTTTTTTTAAAGATTTTATTGATTTTTCTCTTACATACATATGCTAATTTTTCAACCAACGAGCTGTCTGGAATCAACAACACTAATACATATTTCATTCCTAATCCTTCATTCGTTCTTCTAGCCAATAATAAAATAAGTCCCAAGTTTGATAGTTGTCTGTATCTTCTTTATCCTTCACTCTCAAAAGTTAATCTGTCCATCTCCGCGCATTCCAATATTTTTCTGATTATTTCTTCTTCCGGTGGCAGTACTTCATTTTTTCCAATATTGCGCAAAAGTTATCGAATAAAGATTCTTTAAGGTAAACAATGCCTCAAAGTTCCTTTGAAGAGTTTCATCTGACGGAACCATGACGCCTACCTTCTCTGTAACCAGTTCTGACATTGGACAGAGGACACGCTTGGTTACTACTACCGCTTCCTTCAAGCCAATGTCAGGTACTACAAGTCCCATCCTTCTACTGCTCTCTTTTCAACCCACGGCGCCCTGTCTTCACCCATACCACCCAACCCTATGGCGAAGAGCTGCCCATGATAAAATCTCTCCCTATCCTCAATGCCAGCTTCGGCCATCTTTGCCCGGTAATTGGAAAACCTGGTGCATTCCAAATTTCGCCTTAATTGCTTTTTGCCCAAAGGTACTCTGACCTCAGAGTGTTATTTACAGATTTAATATGCATCGAAGTGGTGACAGCCTCTCCGCAAATGAGCATGTCACCGCGAAAATGAAATTTAATGTCATTAGCCAGGACAGAAAGCTAGAGTTGGTCCACTGGGTGCCTGAATGTGTGCTTGAAATAGAATAGAGCTGGAAGGGACCTTGGAGGTCTTCTAGTCCAGCCCCCTGCTCAAGCAGGAGGATCTATGCCATTTCAGACAAATGGTTGTCCAGTCCCTTCTTAAAAACCTCCAGTGTTGGAGCATTCACAAATTCTGGAGGCAGGTATGGTCAGGCCAGGTTCTCATTTAACAATCTCAGATATCATTCAAGGATTATTCCAGAGCAGAACAGAATAACAGACTTGGAAGGGACCTTGGAGGTCTTCTAGTTCAACCCCCCGCTTAAGCAAGAGACCCCATGCCATTTCAGAAAAGTAGCTGTCCAATCTCTTCTTAAAAACCTCCAGTGTTGGAGCACCCACAACTTCTGGAGGCAGGTTGTTCCACTGGTTAATTGTTCTAACTGTCAGGAAGTTTCTCCTAGTTCTAGGTTGCTTCTCTCTTTGGTTAGTGTCCATCTGTTGCTTCTTGTCCTGCTTTCAGGCGCTTTGGAGAATAGCTTGACTCCCTCTTCTTTGTGGCAGCCCCTGAGATACTGGAAAACTGCTATCATGTCCCCCCTTGTCCTTCTCGCATTAAACTAGACATACCCAGTTCCACAAATTCAGGACACTCGTTCCTCTGCTTAAAGTAGGGGGTTGGACTAGAAGACCTCCAAGGTCTCTTCCAACTCTGTTATTCTATTCTATTCTGTTCTGTTCTCTATTCTATTCTACTCTATTCTGTATTCTATTCTATATTTATTCTATTCTATTCTATTCTATTCCATATTTTCTATTCTATTCTATTCTATTTTCTACTCTGTTCTAATTCTATTCTATTCTGTATTCTATTCTATTCTATTTTCTATTCTATTCTATTTTCTATTCTATTCTATTTTCTACTCTATTCTAATTCTATTCTATTCTATTCTAATTCTATTCTATTCTATTTTCTATTCTATTCTATTCTATTCTATTCTATTCTATTCTATTCTATTCTATTCTATTCTATTCTATTCTGTATTCTACTCTACTCTACTCTGTTCTCCTCTGCTCTGGTCTATTTCCATTCCGTTCCATTCCATTCTATTCCAAAGTGTCCTTGTCAAGGCATGAATATCAGACTCAGAACAGAGACTTGAGTCTTCTGCGTCCTTCAATCAAACATCCGCAGAAGAGTTAAAGAGGGTGAAAGGACTACTGTACACAGCTGTCACAGAAGATGATGTGTTGGATTAGACCCCTGGTTCCATGGGGATCATGTTTATCCCCTCATCTTACTCCCTACTATTGTACAGTCAAACACCAGCACTTCCTTCAGTGCAACTGACAGCTCCAAACATCTGGCCTTGACCTTGAACTGGATCTTACTCCTCCAGGGACACACCGCTTTGAATTTTC